TATATATATATATATATAAACGATGAGTAGTATTTCGAGCCAAAACGAGCCGAACACGAGCTGTTCGCGAACAACGAGCCGTTTTGACAGCCCTAGATAGGTCCTTTTAATGCAAATTCTAGTCAAATCAAACACACATACATAGACCCATAAGTTCAATTAATTAATAATTATGAAAAACTTAATCTACATGCTTGTTCCAAAATATTTATTTTTAAATCAGTTTATGATCAAGTCATTTATTATTATTTCTATTTTAATTTCTCATTTTTATATCAAATTATTACACTTGTTTTGACTAAATCTAAATCATTTTCTTATTTTCATAATAGATGAGCTAGCTCATGAATGGTCATAAAGCTGGCCTTAAACTTTGTTAATTAGTAGAACTTAATCTTAAGTCGGAGATGGTTTATCAATTAAACTCATTTATACCCCTGAGGCTTTGCTAGAGCTCATTTGATAATGCCTTATTTGAGTTTGACTCAAATTTGATTTGAATTCATGTAGTTAGTTATCAATGTTCATTCAAAATAATGGTTGCCTTATCTTAACTCAAATTCTAAATTTATATAAATTATTTATTTTTTAGCACTTGTTAAGCAATTTAATTGACCAAATAAATGAGTCAATTAATTTTTTTGGCAAACTATAAAAGTCTTATCAAATTATTGAGGAGCATTTTTTTTTTTTTTGACAAATTGTTTTCTTTTCTTTATTGTTCTTCTCAATGCCATTACATATATTCAATATAAGCTCTTTTATGATAGCCACTTTTTAAAACTTTGATCTTTGAGGTAATCATATGACTTAAGAGATGGTCAATTTACTAATTTATTATGATGATCGTTCTGGCTCTTGATCTCATCAAAAATTTACTTCAACAGCGAAATCACTCCCATCAAATTTACAATTTTTTTTTTCCTCGGACAGGAAGAACACTCGAACTTAACATTTTGCGGTTCTTAACTTTGCTTCCCAATAAAACGGCTACACATCTGTATACTCAAATTTACGATTCTTAGGAAATTTTGTATCTTAGCCTTAAAAAAATTTGGAATTTTAAGGAGGATAACAAAAAACTATATTCACTAGAGTTTCTTGCATAAGCCATACAATAGCAAAAAATCTCATTTGTGTTGAGTAATTTAAGTTAAATTTCATCATTTCCATAACTTAGAATGAGTTTTACTTCAAAATGAAACCTAACTCAAAATATACATTATTTCAATTCTAAATATTATAGCTACTAATGCATCTATTCCTTACCATTTTTTTATAGGCATGTGCTTTGTTCTGTAAATTACATCATTAATAATACATGGAATTTTGCTATGATTTCTATCATCCAGTAGTTCCTATTAATTCAAATGGAATTATAAACATCATTCAATCCATCATGTAGTCGTAAGGCTATTCTATTTGTTATAAAAATATTTTTGATTGTCAACAAGATTAGTTTCGATCGATAAATATTAGAATTATAACGAAATATTTATTATATTTCTACATTTTAGCCTAATATTATACATTGGAGTAATATAATAATTTCATGTACATTTTTCTTTTGTCATGATGACTTATTTTTCTCATTCTTCAATCATATTTATTAAAATAATTCCCACAACTAACAATGTTCACAAACATAAATAAACAAACGTCCAAATGTTACCATTTGCAGTGTTTTAAGCTTTTTTTTTTTTTTAATTATGTAAATAAACAAACCAATATAAAAGATTATAGAGGGTAGTCTTAGCTGGTTCAGTTACATTAAACATCGACCATTTGATGAATCGTGTAGGAGAATAGATGTTTTAGATTCAACGATCGTTAAGAAAGGCAAAGGTAGACCTAAAAGACTTGGATTTATTGCATAAAAAATATTAATTTATTAGAATTAAATAAACTTAATAAGACACAATGGAGAAAAAATGATTCATATAGCCGACCCCCTTTAGTGGCATAGAGGCTTTTTGTTGTTATTTTTATATATATATATATATATATATTTGTGTGTGTATTTATCCCTTTGCCTCGAAGACAATCGACCATAATTGTATGTTCACATGTGATTTTATATAACAAGTGCACTTTATGAATGACTGTGGTAGTTCTTTTACATTGGTCTGTTTACATGATTAAGAAAAAAAATAAAATAAAACACTACAAATGGTAACATTTGGACGTTTGTTTATTTATATTTGCGAACATTGTCACTAAAATTTGATAAAACGTTAATTTATCATTAATTATTTTTTTATGATTTATTTTATGTATTTATAATCATATTTTAAAAATTTACGTATAATTTATCAATAATTTAGCTGTATAAGATAAAATTTCCTATATATATATATTTGCTCTATCAAAAATTGAATTACCCTTAACACCATCAAAAATTTAATTACACTTAACAACATTAGGCATTACTAATACACAATTATGAAACTAAGCCATCCACGTGTCCTCATAAGTTTAATAACCAAAATGACAAGGTAAATTTTTTTTAAAAAAAAAGATTTAAGTCATCAATAAATACAATTTCATTACAGAAGGAATAGAAGGAAAAATATAAAACACAACACATTGCTATAAACATGCTTTCATATCAGCGACTTATCATGGAATAACTTATTTCAAGTCATCCGTGCAGCTTCAACACTCTTCTTTTACACTAAATCGGCCTAACCCTCACAACGCTTGAACTTGTAAGTACAAAACATTATAGGAAGAAGAGTAGGGAGAAGTATTGAAGAAAGAAACACATCACTAATAAAGTGTTTATTGGCCTCTCTAAAACTGAGAGAACTTTCTAGATTACATTAGAATGTACTAATTCTAAACAGCTCTACATTATTCTTTACATAGACATGATTCTAGAACTTTCCACAATATTTTAGAGCACTTGAAGCTTGCTTCTTTCAACATATTTCTGGAATTATGTGGAACATTCTGGAATTCCTTGGAATATTCTCTTTCGTTTTAGTTTTTTCTAAAATACCATGGAATTTTCTAGAGCCCCTTGTATTGCTCTCTTCATTATGGTCTTCTATAAAACCTTCTTTTCCCAAGAAAAAAACTTTAAAATCATCCATTGGAATGATAAAGAAGTCTAAGGTACCTGATCAAGCTCCAATACTGATCTTTACTACTTTGATTGTTCCATGGATTGACCTTACTACTGAATTGACTACCTTGATAGAGCCTCCTTCAATCTTTTGCAAACCCAACCTTTGTGCTTCTTCGGCGGAGATGAAGTTGTGAAAAGCACCCATGCCACTATTGCTCTAATGGTCTTCCCGCTTATTACCATCTTCATAAAGACTAACCCCTTTGCTTAAGGTTTTGATGGAGCTTGCACCCCATTCAACAATTGTATAGACCCTTATTTTGTTGTCGTATCACCACAATCTTCCTCCTGAAGGCTTGCTAGGAGAACGTTTAGATCCTTCTTCTAAGGACAATCCCTTGCCCAATGTGGTCCATCACAAAGAAAACAATTACAATTGTTATGTGACTTTTGATTTTATTATCCTTTTTCTTTCCTTCATCTTTACCCTTGAATGAGGATAATTTATAGCTAGTCTCTTTCTTGTGTTGACCCTTATCTCTATCATCTTTGAAATTGATGCTCTTCTCATCCCTTGGCTTTGTAGACTCATTTTTATAGTCAATCAGGCTTTCGATGACCACAATGACAGTAACAAGATCCTGCATTCCATGCCTCGTAAGCTCAGTCTTCACCCATTGTTGGAGTCCATCCAGGAAGTTGAAAAGAGCATCATTGTCAGTCATGTCAAGAATTTCAAGGACCAAGATAATAAACTCCTCAATATATTCTTGAACCAATCCGTTTGCTTGAGCATCCACAATCGGGCTCTTGCCACATCCTCCACATTCTAGGGATAAAATTGTCTCTTTAACTCTTTCTTAAAGTCATCAAAGGTAGAAATGGTGCACACACATTTCTCTATATCTCCTTGCCTTTTTCTCCACCACAACATAGTGATGTCTGAGAGATAAAGAGTTGAAAGTTGTATTCTTGTCTCTTCATCTGTGATCCCCATCACTCTGAAGTATTGCTCAAGTCTCCATAAGATTAGGTTTTGGTAATTCAATGTGTTTGGTTTCGAAAGTATAATTGTTGGTGGATGTTGCTAATGTTTTCTTGCATAGCAAAATGTATCCACACATCTCCATGTTATAATGTAGGTGTTGATCTCTTCTTCATGAGATCATTGTACATTGAGGAGCTCCTCCATTAAATCTTCTCACATCTTCACCAATTAACATTTCATGAGTTTCTCCAGTTGAAGCATCATACCTTTGATTATTGAATGGATGTTGATGTCTTTCTCCACAAGGTCATCCACCTTTTGATTAAGATCCTATATCCGGTCCTCCATGTTGTTCATAGCCTCCTCTACCCGAGTAAGGCGTGATCAAAGCCATATATTAGCTCCTTCAACCTCCCATGTGGTTTGGATGCAGCAGGATCTGTTGCTCCTCGCGACCTCGTCCTTGTTGATGCTCCACATTTGTGGATTCATACTCCATGACATGATCTTTAAGACTTTTTGCCATAACTTCGAACCGAGTGTTTGATAACAATTATCAGGGAGTAACTTATCTCAAGTCACCTGTAGAGTTTTAGTGCGCAGCTTCAACACTCACTATAGCACTAAATCAACCTAATATAGTTCTCTTGAAGCTTACTTCTTTCAACACATTTCTGAAATTATATGAAACCTTCTAGAATTCCTTGAAATATTCTCATTCTTTCTAGTTTAGAATACAGTGGAATTTTCTAGAGTCCATTGGATTGCTCTCTTCATTTTTGTTTTCTCTAGAATCTTCTTTTCTTATGATTAGCTCATCAATTATTCTTGAAGATGGTAGAGTGTGACGGACTGCTTCAACAAATGTAATATACAACCCAAACCACCACAAAAAATCCTTGGGGCATCTACATACATATCCACCAATTTCTTATCTATTGACATATCTAACACCTAAACTTTATTTTTTTACATCTATATCACCCAAATCACTCAAATCACATCAGAAATACCATCATTTTAACTTTTAAAACGTGCAATACACCTTTTCATGCATAGGTAAGGTGGTATCTATTTAAAATTGAAGTTTAGGTGTTAAATACATTGAAATAGAGTGGTATGCACATAAATCTTTCGATTTACTTTGTTTAAACAAAAACAAAACTGTACAACAAATTGATACTAGCCATGAAATATTAGTTCACCATGGGAAGAATCTTTATTACAGCGCACATGAGTAAGCTAACCCAGCCAATAAAAAGAGAACTAATCATGGCATACCTCGAGGTCACTCAAAGGGCACATCAAACAATTCCCCAATTTTGCTGAGTGTCCATCAGTTTCTGTAAACATGAAATCCTAATATGCTCGACTCAAATTATGTACAAGTTCAAAACATTGCTATTTATAAAACTAGCACCATTGGGAATTCGATGAAACTAAAAAATATGGGTTGGATTTTATTGTGAATTTTGATATTTGCATGAGAGAGGGTCGCAAGAGGGTACTGTTTTAAGTAAAAATAGCAATGTTTCGAGTGCTATGTTTGAAATTGCCCCAAAACAGCCTTGAGTGGCTTTGTGTAAAATGCTACTTTAACAAAGTATATCAGACAATGAAAATGTTAATATGATTTGTGCTGTACAAATGGTCTCAATTGGAAAAATGCAATTCATTGTAGCAAAGAGCAGGAGATCATTCAAGAGGCACATTGAGATTCAAAAACGGTGAAATAAAGTTTGCTTACAATATTAAGAATGCATGCAAAAACAAGATTTTTCAGCTTTAACACTTAACCTTTTATCACTAATGACTATGGTACAACAGCAATTGGCTTATTTCTACCTGCAACTAAGAAAATTTTGGAAGAAAGAAAGAAAAAATATATATATAAATGAAAAAAAAATCTTATCGAATATGCAGTAAAAACAAAAAAAATGGCATCAACTATGGGGTTAGATTTGTACAAGAGCTAGCGAATAATGAATTCTGCACTAACCGGAAGGGATCAGCCTTGGTCTCAAAAAGACCTGAAGAAAAACAGATGAAGTAAGCAAGATGGTAGGGCATAAAGGTGTCATTTTGATATTTACTAGCACAATATTGAAAATTTTACCAATGCAAAAGCCCAATGGTGACTATATTTCAATGTTCAATCCAGAAAGGAGGCCAGCTTTCTCAACATGCCCTCCTAACCAAAAATAGTGATAATGTACTTTCCTGAGCAAGCAGGAACTGAAATCACCAGCGAGGATTGCAGAGTGTAATTACTTATCATGCTTCTTTTTAGAAATTGCGCTTTTAGGCTTATCCGTGTCGGCCTCTTTCATGACCTTTTTCTTCTCAAGGCCATCTAGCTTACAGTTCTCTTCATGTGCGCTCCGAAACATTCGAACAAAGTTCATAAGGGTGGTGATAACTGCAATATATATTATATATAAATAAAAAATGCTTTTACAACTCAAAAGTTTTTGTGCAAAGAAAATGAAGATACATGCTGTTGAGATTTTTATCTAATGTAGAGTTCTATTTATAAATAAAAGTCTATTATTTGCAAATGACGAGGAATTGAGTGCATTTAGCTCAGGCATGACAAGTGCTCGGGGGAAAACCACTGGTGCTGCAACTGTGGAGAAGTGGGTCACCTGAGCAAGGCTTGTCCAAATCCAACCAAGGAGAGAGACGGAAGGACTTGAATCGTCTAGAGGGGGGTACTGGGCAAATCTGGCGGTAGCAGAGAATAAGGGAAAGACAAAGGTAGTCTTTACCGATGAGGATCGTAAGTTTTTGGAGATGTTGAAAAGAAAGTAGAGTGGCATGTGATGTCACTGAGAATGCATCCATCTTATTGTCATCCAAGGGGAACTTCTAGTTATGCTCACTCAGCCAAAGGTGCACGTGATACGCATGCTCTTGCCTCTATATCCACCACAAGTTTACCAGAATAGATAGTAGATTTCGGTACATCTCGATAAGTGACAGGTGTCACTAATAAGTTCTCTTCCTACACCCACCTAACAGTTCCAGGAGCATTCAGACTGTTGATAGGACGACACAGCCTATGGTTTGTAACAGTACAACGAGTTGTACCAATTCTATGACTTTATCCAATATTTTGCATGCTTATTTCTATCCAGTGAACATTTTATTCATTAGTGTCATTATACTTCAACTAAAATGTGTCGTTTCATTAGATATTCCAAAGGAGATATTTTAAGAGAAAAGGACGGGCCAGAAACTTGAGACTGACGCATGACATAGTGGACTTTAGTACTTGGATAGAAACAGGATGGAATCAGCCTTGACATCCATGGTTGAGAATGCTGGAGCGAGAGGATCTGAGGAGAGTGTAGAGGATGTATTGCTGCTACATCACAAAAGCAAGATACACTCTTCGTTTAGTCTATTGAGTCATTTGTGTACATCATTGTATGAAAAAGGAAATAAACAAAAACTTGTGTGTGATGCTTGTGAGTTTGGCAAGCATACCAGGAGCTCTTATGTTAGTTTTGGTAAAAGGAGTTCTATTTTTTATTTAGTGCATTCAGATGTATGAGAACCTTGTTCTACAACTTCAGGAAGGTTACATAAATTTTGTGACTTTCATTAATTGTTTTCCTCATGTTACTTGATTATATTTGATGAGAAATAAAAGTGATGTGTTTGCTTGCTTTAAAAACTTTCACACAGTGATTCAGACTCAATACGGTGCTGTAGTGAAGATATTGATGTTTGATAATGGGTTGGGGAATACTTGTCAGTGCAAGGGATACATCATCAAGCATGTTCATATACACCATCACAAAATGGAGTGATAGAAAGAAAGAATATACACCTTCTAGAGGTAGCCCGAAGCATGATGATCATGATGAATGTCTCAAAGCACTTGTAGGGGCAAGCGATTTTGACAGCAGCTCAATTGATCAATAGAATGCCCTCGAGAATGTTGGATTGGAAGTCTCTTCACCAAATGTTGAAAGACGATAATAGTGAGATCCTTCAATTGAAGGTATTTGAATGCTTATGTTTTATGAAAGACAACATGTCATCTGTAGGGAAGTTGGATATCAAAGTTGTGAAATGTGTGTTCATTGGGTATTTTGCTACTCAGAAGATTTATGTATTTTGGAGCCAGATCGAAAAAGGCTCTTTGTAAGTATGAATGTGTCATTCAGATAGTTTAAATCATACTACACTTTGGAGGTGAATTCCCCCTTTAGTGACTCAATAACCATTGGAGATATGAGGCAAGAGAGAGTGTGTAGTAGTAGTAATGGAGCGGTGTAAGCAGGAGAAATATCATGTCCTGTAATGTGGGATGAATCAACTGAGGAGATGAAAATCGAGGAGAATGACCCCAGTGGTGGTGGGATTCAGACAGAAGGCGAGCTAAAGGTGTATAAGCAGACGAAGAAGAAAACCGAGGGAGCAGATCCTGCAGTGCCAACAAGTCCCTTCTCTAGGTCTTCCCCAACTCTTGAGACAACTACCCCATCCACTTTTGATCCAAAACTTCCATAAGATATTATTCCTCCCCAACATTAAGGAGGACCTCCCGTAGCAATGCAGGACATCCTTCTGATCGTTTTGGGTGGTGGAAACTCAACATTGCAAACTTCGTTTCTTATTCCAACATTTCACCTTTGCATAGAGCATTCATTGCATCATTGGACTCTGTCTCTATACCCAGGTGTTGGCAGGTTCTAAAGAGCATCCAAAGTGAAAAGCGGCGATGCATGAAGAGCTTGGAGCTCTTGATAAAAATCAAACATGAGAGATTTTACCACTACTAGCAAGGAAGAATAAAGTTGGATGCAAGTGGATCTTCACGGTAAAGCAAACTTCAGAAAGGAAGGTGGAGAGGTACAAAACACTAGCGACAAAAGAGTACAGTCAAACATATGACATTGACAACGGTGAAACCTTTGCACCAATAGCAAAGATGAGCAAAGTGAGGATATTAGCTTCTCTGACAATGAATGGTGGATGAAGACTCCGCCAACTGGATGTGAAAAATGCTTTTCTTCATAGGGAGCTACTGGAGAAGGTATATATGGAGATACCACCAGGATTCAGTACATCCCAGACAGTGGGGAAGGTGTGTAGGATCAGGAAGTCATTATATGACTTGAAGCAATCTCCTCGAGTCTAGTTTGACAAGTTTAGAATAACGAAGGTTGGCATGGGATACCAACAGATCAATGCAGACCACACGGTGTTCCTTCAGCAACATGAATATCACACTACCATGCTTGCAATGTAAATAGATGAAATAATTATCACTGTTGATGATAAGACAGAGATTGCTCAACAAAAGGGATGATCAGGGAAGCAATTTGAGATAAACGATCTGTGATAGCTCAGACACTTTCTTGGGATTAAAGTAACCCATGGACCTGAAGAGATGGTGCTATCCCAAAGAAAGCATGTAGTGCATCTTCTCATGGAGATGGGTATGTGGGGGTGCAAACTTGTAGCCTCTTTAATTGATCATAAGGTCGAGCTTAGTATGGAGGAAGGTGAATCTGTAAATCATGAGAGGTACCAGAGGTTGGTGAGTCGTCTGATCTATTTATGCCACACTTAACTCAATATTTCTTTTGTAGTAAATGTGGTGAGCCGCTACATGCATAATCCAATGAAGGGCAATATGGATGTAGTGTATCAGATTCTGAGGTATCTGAAGAGTGCACCAGGAATAGGGTAGATATTCCAAAAGAATGAGCATTTAGATATTAAGGGCTTTTGTGATTCTGACTGGGGCAGTTGTGCTGATGATAGACGATCCACATGATGATACTAGGAGTTCCTTAGATGATGTGGCTGAAAGCCTTGTTGGTTGAACTCAAATAAAGTTGTGGTGTGACAACAAATCGACAGTCAACATTGCTAACAACCCGGTGCAACACGATAGAAATAAACATGTGGAGAATGATAGATTCTTCATTAAGGAAAATCAGAATAACAGATTGTTGAAACTAAAGGTGCATTCGATTGAGCATTTAAACCAGCTTTTGAACCCAATTGCATTTAGGGTGCGTTTGATTCGTGCGTTTGGATGGAGCGATTGCAAACGACGGTTGGAGTTATTATAAATTTGCAAACGCAGAACCACTGGTGGGATCCGCCATTCTCGAATAAACTTATACTACAATTCGCTATTTTTCCCTCGCTTCATTCGCAACCATTCCGCCAAAAGAGTTAGGCATTTTCTCCAACAAAGTTCCTATCGTTGATCGAGCAAGTGGTATCCCTACGACAGTGAGATCGACCTGAAGTCGAATCGTAATCAGCCTCACGTAGATCACTCAAACATTTTGATCCGCCTCCATTCTGGCTACCGCCCAGCGGAGAACATAAACGCTTGCCTCGATCTCTCCTGACCGTTGGAGGTGAGTTTTACAAAATCTAGATAATATTCCATCCTCCAATTGATGTATTAGAGGGGACCAGGAATTAGCACCGAACCCTTATCTGAAATTCAATTATTGATGGCGGCGTGAGGCCTCCCAACTTTAATGCATTCAAGGCCTACTTCAAGAGGGCCGATTTGGATCATGAGGGGAGGATTAGTGGTTTGGGAGCCGTTTGTCACCTCCCAAAAGAGCCCTTAAGAGACGTGGGCAGCTCAGGACTTAAATACTGCTTTTCGGCCCTATACCTAGCCGATGTGGGACTATTTGTCCGTGACATTCTTATCCACCCAATCACATGACGCCCTCGTCACGGATCGGCTCCACCGAGGGACCCACTGGACCATGGAGAGTCCACACACTTGGCAGGGAGGAAACTGCTCTTCTACCACTTG